TGTGGACAGTTCGTCAGATATGAATGACGAGCCACGATCCGAATGTACATATGCAGGCATGCCAAACAAAGAGAATAACTCACACAGACATTTAATAACTGTAGACGCACATGTATCTACGCAGGGAAAGGCAAACGGAAAACGAGAAAACTCGTCAACGATGGTAAGGAGATACCGGTTTCGAGTAACAGAAGGTAGAGGTCCTTTAAAATCGATGCTAATTCGTTCAAATGGTTGGGTCGCTTTGATGAGCGTAGCGGGGGGTGGTTTGTAAAACTGCGGTTTGATGGCGGCGCAAACCGTACACTTTGTGGTGATGTCCTTGACATCTTGGAGAGAAAACGGCAAGTTTTTGGAAAGAACAAAGTGGTGCATTCGAGTAATTCCAGGATGGCACAAGGAATCGTGAATTTCTTTTAATTTACCATTGCCGATCACATTGGCGCATAGGTTACGCGATAAGGTGTCAGCAACCAGATTGTCTTTTCCAGGTCTGTAGCTGACATCGTAGCTAAAAGCGGAAAGTTCCATTTTCCATCGCTGGTTTTAATCATTTTTTTATCTTACTTTTCTGCGACAAACCATACACAAAGGAAACTGACCGCTGGTCAGTGATAAGCTTGAAGTGCTTCCCGAAGAGATAATGCTTCCATTTACGGGTAGATTCAACGATGGCGAATGCCTCCTTCTCAATAGCAGAGTGATTCTTTTCGCTCGGTGTCAGTGTTCTAGAAAAGAGAGCCACCGGTTGGCCGTTCCGAGTCAGAGATGCAGCAATGGCTGTCTGAGTCGTCGGTCTCGACAACCAATGGTGCGTTGTAGTCGACTGTCATAACCATGGCGTTCTCTAACTCCTTTAAATTTTCGAAAGACTGTTGCACACGTTCCAGTAAGGGGAAAGTCTTATTTCTGACAAACACACTGATTTTGTCAGAGAAGCATGGTATCCATTGCGAATAACAAGCAAACATACCAACAACTCGTTGTTGGGATTCAGCGTCATGTGGATGAGGGAGTTCACGAATAGGTTTCATTCGTTCAGGATCTGGTTTGATAATTCCTTTAGAGACTTCGTAGCCCAGAAGGCGTATGATGCTGCTATGATGCTTTTCTTGCAGTTAAGGGTAACTCCATATTTTTCTTATTACTTCAAAGAAAGATTTGAGGTTCTGGTCATGCTCACTTTGGGTAGTCCCACAAATAGTGACGTTGTCGATGTAGGCGTAAATGCCACTCAGGTTCTCAGACTTTATTCTATGGTCCATAGTACGTTTAAAGCATGCTACTCC